TGGGAACCGCGGGCGAAGAGGGTCGAGGAGGAGGTGTACGAGGAGTCCCCTTCTCTTTCGCCCCTGGTTCGTTTCGCCAGGGTGGTGTAGATCTCGATAGTGAAGATCAGAGTGCTGGTGCTTGCGGTTATCGAGATCGCCGAGGTCTCTCCACGAAGAGCCGCAAGAATGATGTGGTTCGTCGCAGCCCTGTGTATTTCGATCCTGGCCTGAAGGTACCGCAGGGCGCAGTTTCGCAGGCTTCTGACATCGGCCCCCCGCAGGAGGCGGAATGCAAGCAGCAGTGATGTTATCCCTCCTGCTTATGTGTGGCAGCTGTACTTCGTGCTCCACGTGCCGTTCGGCTACTTCCTCGCGGTCTTCGTGTCGCTCGAGGGCGCGCTGCACTTCTGAGTCTCGAGCCCCGGGCTCGTCAGAGTTGTTGATGTCAAAAGGAGCTGCTCGCGTTAGGTCTGCGGGGTCTGTCGGCTCCGTCTGTCCTCGGTCCCTGGGGTGCCCGTCGTGCGCGTCGGCCACCGCCTTGGTCCGCTGCCGCCAGCTTTTGTCTCAGCCCAGGCTGTTTCAATCTGTCGGCCCTCACCTCTCTCTGCGGTTGATGTTGAAAAAAAACACTCTCTTCAGCCGCTCGAGGTTGAGCGAAGGCAATCTGGGGCTCCCTTCGCGAGGGGGGTGGTTCGTCTTTCACATCTGCATGCGCGCGCTGCGGGTCGTACATGTCGTATCTCCTGGATGCGTGTGCAGGTGCCGAGCGTAATCTTGACCCGTGGCCCGGCGTAGCCCTTGCCCTGCCTTGCCTCCTTCCCTCTCCTCCTGCCCCCTCTCCTCCTCCTCGTCTGGGAGCGCGGCGCATGTGAGGGTGCCGCCTCGGGAGGGCAGCTCAGAGCAGGGGGCGGCATGCGAAGGGTGGCGAAGAGTCGGGGCAGAAGCCGCGAAGAAGAATCAGGTAATCATCGGAGGAGGGGGTGATGGGGTGGGGCCGGGGAAGGAAGACCAGGGAAGGAAGGAGGATGAGGAGGGGGGATAAGGATAATGATACTGCGAATGGCAATGATAATGATGATGCTGCTGCTGATGATGATGAAGAGGAGGGGAGGAGGAGGATGAAGATGAGGATGAGGATGATGAGGATTATTCGGGTGATGATACTGTTGATGATGATGATGATGATGATGATGATGATGCTGATGATGATGATGATGATGATGATGATGATGATGATGATGATGATGATGATGATGATGATAATGGTGGTGGCAGTAGTGGTGGTGATGGTGATGGTGATCATGATGAAGATGAGGATGATAATGAGGATGAGGATGAGGATGAGGAGGATGATGCTGATGGTGCTGATTATGATGATGATGAAGAAGAAGAGGATGAGGATAAGGAGTAGGAGGACTTGTGAAAATCCAAGACGCATCAACACTGCTGCAATACGCCATCCCTCCAAGCTCCCCCTTCACAGGCCCCAGCAAAGATGCATTTCAGTTGCGGGGGATGCCCCATCGGAAGACGAACGTTTGGACTGCAAGCTTTCGAAACGACTGTGCGCGGCGCCAAGGCGAGAGCCAGATCTCGACACGGAGCCGCCCTCGGTCCTTGAAGCTGCTGCGAACTCCTTGGACGAACGTGCGCGGCGCTGTAGCGAGAGCCACATTGAAAGAAGGACCCGCACTCCGCACTCCTTCCGTGAAGCTGCTGCACTTTTCGAGCGGTGAGGAAGTCTCAAGCGAAACGCCCAGGCCACCCCACAGACACGTCTGGGGGTGCGACAGGGAGCAGTTCTTGAGGATGAGAAGGAATGGAGTGGAGGAGGCCGTGTGCTCTGGTAGCCCACCGATAACTCGTGCATGACGTCATGGCGCACGTACAGACACGCACCTGCACGCTGCTGGCCCAGGGCGTGGGGCCTTCCTACCAACAAGAGACATGGGACCAAATGCCCCACTGAGTCCACTACTGGTCGCAAGTTTGACCATGGATCCAACCTCCCACCAGCACGTACGACGCCTGCTACTGCTGCCGCGGCCGGCGCAGTCCTTGCTGCTGCCCGCGCGCCAGTCCCACATCGGCTGTGATCTCCAGCCCTGCCTTCGCGAGCTTTGGCGCGCTTGTGAATTCGCCTGGGGCTGCTCGTGATCGGTAGCAGTCCGCCTCTGGCCCTCCTCGTCCAGGTGAGAGGTGGCAAACCTTCGCAGAAGGCGGCGGGCCTTCTCGCACGCCCTCCGGTCTTCCGAGAAGCCCACCGTGGCTCGGCAGGCCACCCGAGCCTTCCGAGAAGGCCCGCCCCCTCTGCTCTGTCCTGTCCCTCCCTGCCCCCTCATCCCTCCATCCTCCATCCCCCCTCCTCCTCCTGCTCCTCTTCCTGCGCCTCCTCCTGCTCCTCTTCCTGCTCCTCCTCCGCCTCCTCCTCCTCCTCCTCCTCCTCCTCCCTTCATCCTCCCCTTCTCCTCGTGCCCCTCTCTTCTCCTTTCTCCCCCCCTCCTGCCTCCCTCCTCCC